TGTTGTGATTCAGGAATTGTGTGTATTGTTATACATATACCAATCTTATTTATAGAGTGAATACAATAAATGATAGAGATACTAATCTCTAATATTATGGAAACTAATCTAATCATATCCCTAATTGATAGTGAGGATAATAACCATAATATATGTATCCACAATATCTGTAATATATTCACAATATCTGTAACACAAATAAAGACTGAAAAGGAAAAAATTAAGGTATTAACAGAATTCAAAGTGAAACCAACTCATGGTGTATTTGGCTATTGCAATCTTTCTTCAATCATGGCTGACTAAAGAAATAACAATCAATTATCAGCAAAATGATCAGCATAGCTTACCAATCAAGACTTAACCATTCTTCATATAAGGAAAAGTTCTCAACAAAACATTGATAAGTCATTAAAATGGATTCATATGCTAATGATATTATCAAAGTATTTGTACAAAACACTTGAAAATTGGTAAGATGTATAAGGTGAAATAATAATTGTCAAATAAACTTCAGTATTAAAATGATTTACTTATTAATTAGCCAAAAATTATATGGTTGTAGGTTGTATCATATTGAATATTTGTACAAAACACTTGGAATATGCTTGTCTGAATATGTTGGAAATACAGATTACAGAGGGAAGCCAAAATTGAGAGAGACAGAAAGGTTTTAACTTTTCACTTCCAACTCGAGTGACAAAAAATGTGAAGTGGACTACAAAAGTGTTATGATATACTTTAGAGTAAATTATACTGACACCTCTCAAGATTTCTTGAAATTGTGTATACCTCCCCTGCTTTTTTAACATTTACAACAACCTCACTTATAGGGGACACACTGTAATGTTGTTTAAACAATTAAGGAAGCATACTAGCATAGTGTAATGTTTAAGGAGTGCCAGAGTGCTATTTTACAAACAATCAAGGGGGCTTAGTGTAGCAGTAGAAAAAACAAGAGTCAAGTGCAATCTCACAAAACTTCAAGGGGTTTTAGTGTAATTTACTCTATACTTTAAAGTTTACAGTATTTTTACTGTATCATGAAAGTAAGAAGTGATTTTCCTTCCTTTTAAACCTTCACATTTTCCACTAACTCAATCATGCATAGCCTTAAACAATGAATTGCAGGACATTATAGACAATGGAAAAAAATATTTAGAATTTTAGATGATAGCAATCACAGATAGAAGACTGTATACCTTCCCAACCATATGAACATCACCAGAAGACTTTTGTGGATGCTCTTTAGTTAACAAAAGAAAGTCATTTTCTGAAAAGCTCCTACATTTTCCAGAATCACCATCATCATGTACAAAGCGAACAAGATGGAAATCATCAATTCTCTCAATTGACATCACAGAAAGGATTCCATAAAACATCTCCTCCCATGAAGACATTTCAAGAAAAGAATTATGCAGTTGTGCTTTGAACTCCTCCAAAACTAATGGCTGAAATATCTCCATATACTGTTCAGGTGATTGAAAATATACAGGAACTTGCTTTAAATTGTTAACAATTTGGTTTTCATCTTTTCTCATGGATGACAATCCGACAGTTGCAAAATAATTTATCTCAAGAATAGCTTTATACCAATCATCCAAACTTGGTGGCCTGAATCTTTTCACTGGGTCCTCTAATTTACGGAGATAACCAGATTTGTTTTCAAGAGGAGTTTTGAGTTGAATAACTTGTCTTCTCAAAACAGTTGGCTTTGGTACATGCAACTGGACACGTCCCACAGATTTCAATGCAATCTCTAGCGGATCATCTGCAGCATCCTGAATATGACATGACATTTTATTACAAGTACTTGACACAGTGTCACCAGTTTTTGGAGCCATGTTGCTGCAAGCTTTATTCAAATTTTTAGCTTTGACAGCTTCATCAGAAATTTGTGTCAAATTGACCATAGCCTTGGATTTTGAGCTTACTTCTTTCCTACAACTACCTAAACCTTTTGCATCAACAAATGAGGTTGTGCTGGACTTATCATGTAAATTACTGGAACTAGCCTTTTTCTGGATGCTTTCCTTCATTTTCTTGGAAGTTTTCATGACAGAAACATTTTGGTTTGCAAGGTCAGCTGCTGGTAAACAATTACCTACATCATGGGGCATAATGTTGCCATCAGATATGTGCTGACCAGCCTCACTAACTGATAAAAAGTCCTTTTTGAAAGAAACTTTTGGTTCCACTTCATCATCTGAAAGAATAATTACACTTTCAGTGCTTCTTTTGTCAGCCATTATTTTAGAGTCCACATTTAGCATGTCTATATCCTCCATGGATGAAGAATGAATATCTGAAGTAAAACAGCTCTTATCAAAACGCAATCTTTCATATACCAACAATTTGGACTTCGCATTTGGCTCCTGAAAATTATGAGATCCTTCCATAGATAAAGAAACGGACAGGTGAGACACTTGTTCTGTCAATTCTTCCAAAGTATAACCATCTAAATTGACAAAGCAAAACATAAATAAAATATATTAATGGCATAAAGTATAAAGTATATTAATTGCATAAAGTATCAACCCAGAATCAGGGGCAGGGGGAATGAGAACAGAAACAAAACTCACTGTTCAAAAGATTTTCTATGGTCATGATTGTTGACAGAGAAGTTTTTCCACAACAAGCTTTGAACTGAGTCAGTATATATGTAACTGCTCGCTTCCAATAAACAATTACAACTGTAAGGGATGACTTTCCCCATTCCATAAGATCATGAATCCATTTGAAATTCAATTTATTTTGTACAAGCATCGTGAAATTCCCATGCATCTTATCACCAGATAGATGGAATTTATCAACGAGAACAGGGAGAATCTCAAGTAGCCGAATGCAAGTCATCTGAAAAACAGGGAACTATAAAGTGAAGGATTTCCTCCTTATAAAACCAAGATGGTGATTTGCACTTAGGAATAGTATGTTCACTTGTCACATAGTAAAATGCATTTAGTTTTCATGAGCATTAGTCTCTAAGAAGACATACTTGATTAATAGTAACCTGAAATAGTCTCCATTAAGTCTATTAAGAGACTACACACACACGTGCACACAAACACATATATAGTCTCAAAAGTCATGTCCCCACAAGCCTCGTCACAAACCGAATAATCCCCACATGCCGGTTCATTGCACTTCAACTCAACATCGTTAAGATCTGGCAGGAAAAACAACGTCGTTGCATTCAGGTTTGGAATGCGCATGAAAGCCAAGTGTTGCCTCACACTCATCACGCCACGGTGACGTTTCATTGAGAGGCTACCACAAAAACATGACCAAAGAGGAGTTGGGGTCACGGAGGCCCACAACTAAGGTGACTTTCCAACACACCCACTAAGTTAATGGACTTCAAGCATGGTAATGCAAATTGCATAACAATTAATCTAGAGTAGGCTTTTATCCCATCTTATAATTTGGCCTTGGGGTTTGATTCAACCCCACAAATTGGCTTGTGAGATAAGGATGACCCAAGCCTAAGCAACACTTAGGATGTATCTCTAGCCAATGTAGGATCTCAAACCACTAAGAGTCAACATCCCAACACTTTGATGCTTCACCCAACCTTTCTAGCCAGCCCCATCTATAGATAGCCCTTTCTAAGACAGTATGACCTAGGGCTGACCGCAACTAAGGCAGGTTTCTAACAATTAATGTTCATTAATATTTTTTGGATTGTAGAAATATAGAGTTCTTTACAAACTGTTTTAAAGCAAGAGTTTGATCATTTGATGACAATAAAGAAACAAAAATTTCATTACTGTGTGACATTTTGTTCAAATAACAGTAATCCAGGAAAAAAAGAAGAAAAAACACTAAACAGGGCAAATAACAGAGAAAGACAAGATAATACCTGGCAAAGATTGTAATCAATGAAGTTTTTGCCATTTATCAGGCACCTACAGAAAATAGGCCACGCCATTTCACATAGTAAGCAACCAATTGTTTCCTTTGTTCTTTGTTCAACATTGATAGCATGCTTAACATTCTCAGGCAAATAATTGAAAGCTGGCTGCTTTAAAAACCCGCCTTTTGAAGAGAATTTTGGCATTCTTAAGTCACTGTGTGTATTTTCAGTCAACTCTGGAGCAAGTAGACCCTCATCTTTGAGTAATTTGCATAAAAGAAACCAAAAATGATGTAGAGTGTGAAACTTCAACAGAACAGAATCTAGTTGAACCTAGCATGAATACCCAATGGTATTAGTAAAAACCATTTTGTTGTGTAGGGGGGGATGGAATCAGTCAAATGAATTGACACTAGACAAAATTCATTTTTGACCAACTCAATATTTCATATGCGCATGAAGAAGCATGTACACAAAACCTGAACACCAAATTCACCCAATCAAATTGGACATAGAACACACATTTAGCTTCAGTGCAATAGATTATTGTAAGAACACAAAAAGACCAGAATTTGGTCGCAAATAAGTTGACTTTTGCAGTTCTCTAGTGAATTTGATTAAAGGAGATTCAGTGAACCACAAAGCTACAGACACTCCTGCTTGAGGTGTCAATATGTCCGACACATTTCCAACACAAATATAACACTTTTCAAATACTTCTCACTACATATCCCATTAAAATATCTTTTTATCACTTAAAACACTTGAACCAACTCCTTTACACAGCTTGAATACTTCAGCTGGCACCTCCATATTAATAGACACTTGAAGGACACTAGTGTGTACCTTTAAATTTTTTAAAATTCAAAATAAACAGATTAAATATATAATATATAAAAAAAAATCATAGTAGTCAAAAGCATATATAGCAGGGAAGAAAATAGCAGGATAGGGACACTAGTGTGTCTGTACCTTTAAATTTTTTAACATTCAAAATAAACAGATTAAATATATATATATATATATATTATATTAATTTTATTGAGTAAACACCACTTTGATCCCTAAAATTGGAATGCATAGTCATATTAGTCTCTGAAACTAAAGAATTGTAAAAATTATTCCCTAAAAGTGCACACACCCAGCCACACACAATCACATTAGTCCAAAATTCAAAAAAAAAAATGTGTGAATAAAATAATAATATTCCTTTTACACAAGCACACACCCAGCCACACATATGAACAAAGAAAGGGTGGACACCAACCACATTATTACTAAGAAAACATTTGCCAAATAAATTACCAGTTTCATAGCATGTTTGAGGCCCAAAATAGTTGCATACAATGAGGGATTGTGAGAACAAAGAAACTTCAATCCACTTGAAAGACCTCGAGTGTCTGAAACTTGTTCCAAAATAGATTTTCCAAATTGTCTAACATCCTGCATGGGAAAAAAATAAGACAAAGAATGAGAACAAAATTCATCTAATTCCAACAAGGGTAACAAATATGATCTACAAGTGCTAGGTAAATTTGCATATTACATCATGTGGATCCAAAAGCGAAAGGATCAAGCTTTCACTCATCAGTGGTTCCCAAGTCCACTGACATCGAAGTTCTCCTTGTCTTATCAGAACTAAAACATGTTCAGTTAACCTGATGTGCAACTCCAGATAATTAGTCAAGGTATTAAAAATTGGCTTTTCACTTAAAACCACATGATACTCAAACTTTGATTTAACACAACATAAGTATAAAAGAGAAGCTGGTGCTAGGAACCTGATAAATGTTCTTAACAAAGGAAAGGACATTGTCAACACTTCAACTGAGTTCTTTGATTTGTTTCCATCTCCACCATCATCAGATCCAGTTGGAACCTTCCACCCAAATGAAGAGGAAATTTCTGCAGCATAAGATGATAGGAAAGATCTGCTTGGAAGCACCATATCTGCACTATTCTCAAATTCTACCATAGCAAAACGTGATCGTGCCCAGAAAACAGCTTTCGAAAATGAAATCGGTAGGATTGAGGGATTAATATCAACTAAAACATCAACCCATAACATCGGAATGCACATCCACTCTCGGCACTCTTGAGAAGTTATTCCACTTTGCACTCTGAATTGACTCCAAGAACTACTAGTATCCTTCTCTTCACCATCTGGAATACTTGGCAGCCAAATATCATCATTTTCATCATCCAACTCAATGACCTCATTGGCCATGCCACTATCAGTGCTTGGAGTTGTGCGACAATTCAGAACCGAATATATTAAAGCAGTAGCATCTGATACTATGATAGTCTGTATAAGGTCAAATGCAGGTTGCCTCAAAGAATTGTGAAGTGAGGAATCCTTCAGAGATGACACAAGGGCAGGTCCCCTGTCCAATACAAATGTTGAGAAGTGATCAGGTAACTACACTACTGAATAAAAGATTGATCCAAGTATTTCATAAACACGCTGCTTTGTGGTGAAGCTCATACATATTACATATGCAGCAACAGCAGTTTAGTAGTGAGTTTTCACAGTTCCATAAATACATTAACATCCATATAATTTCTAAGTGCGTATTCCATCAGACCTTACTGTTGTACCAATGGAAAAACAGCATTGAAGAAGGCCCATTATGGTGCCTCACCTCATCACAAACACTTCCAAATTTTTCCAGATCTTCCCAGCAATAAGTATAATGCAGTAACATGAACAAGCTCCAAGAGATGCTTTAAACATGGAAAAGGGTAAAGTCCTATCAGGATATCTATTAAGAAGTTCTAGATGAGTGTTCAATTACTCAAATTTTTAATATGCCTACAACAGGATATGTTATCCCTTTAACAAAGACACAGAAATACTTTCAGTAACAAACATTATTAAAAGGATTTCCTAGTGTCTTTGGTAAATCTCAGAGTTTCTATCCAGTGCTTGATTGCATTCTAATTTCTAGTTATATGCAAGATGAAAAAGGGGTGTTAGATGAAAAATAAGAGGGATGTGGTGCCGTATGATCAGTAGCACCAGAATCTATAATCTAGATATCTTCAATACCAAAAGCATCAAAAGATAAGTTAGAACTCTCACTAGTTATGATTAGAATAAGTGCCACATGGGTTACTATGAGAGCCAATAAGAGCCTACAATGTGAACAAGGGGGTCTCCTACCTCACTCTTCTAGTCAGACATTGTTTGATTGTCACGTCTCTGAGTTACCCTTGAATCCTCAAATGTGAACAAAGGACATACTCATTTCCATGAAGTCAAAAAAGCATGTTTCCTTAGTATGGTCTAGCCTCCTACAGTGTAAGCACTAGCAGTCTTCAAGGTTGGTCTAAAACAAGTATACAACTGCCTACACCTTAATTCACCTCGAACAACGCAAAAAACCTGTGAAAAAGAAGGGACTTTTTCTTAGCCTAATATATGAACCCAAAAGCAGTCAAATCCAGAGTTTAGAAACTTGAAGATCTCTCAACAAATTTTGGCATAGTCTTCATCATTAACGTCTAATATTGATCCAATTCAATCTATAAACCATTTAAGATCCCATAATAATTGGTTATTGAAAGGGTCCCTTGCCTGGTGCTGAATATTTTATTTTTTATCTCTTAATAGGCTAAGATATCTTGTTCCAGGGAGTAAGTTTGTTGCAAATTCCCCCAAATCTCCCTAGCAATAGAGAAGAATATGTTGTTCCAACTAATTTCCAAAGTCCCAGAATGCCACAACCACGTCATAATAAGAGTCCCCTCATCACAAGTGTCATATTGTGAGTCAGTTTAGTCCAATTCTTCCCTTTGATATGGTTTAATCTGGAGCTGACAAAATGGACCCGATTTGCTGGGCTAGCTCAAACCCACACAATAAACTATAGGGCTTGGACTCTAAATTTCAAACCCAAATTAAGTGTGGGCCATTTTTGCGCAGTCCAATAAAGTAAATGTCATAAATGGGTTCGAGCTAGGCTAGCCCGATCAGGCCAGGCTGCTCATTTTTTTTTTAATTTTAGTAATTTATATTTAACTTATTGCTGAAAAGTAAAAGAGAAAGATCAAGAGTGAGAAGTCTAAAGGATTAAAATAAGTCATATAGGTCAAATACTCAAACATTTAGCCAACTCATACAATCATATGCATAACCCTCATTCTTTTCTCATGGTAGTGTTATTTTAGAATTGCACCGTGGCTACCCAAGGCTTACTGCTACCTGCAACTCACTCTCAATTATTCCTCTTTATATGGTAAAGTGATCTAATTCTAAACCATCAAATGTTTTACACTTTAAATTTTACAGTGTTGATTTCTCATATTTGACTCGTGAAGATTGAAAAGAGGTTAAGGGTTAAATAGAGGTTGACAGAACATAGTGAAAATGATTGGCTGCAAAAACATGAACAATACAGTGCTTCAAACAGCAGTAGAGAATCCCAAATTATGCCATAAATGAACACAGAGAACACAGCACATGGGCTACACATGACGATGATGGTCTGTGGGTCTGCAGTACATGATGAACTTTCTAGCAGCAGCGTTTTTGGACCTGGCCAGTCTAGTAGGGATAGCAAACCCATTCATGGTGTCAACAATCTGGTCAAAGCAATTTCAGCAACAGATGGTCATGGCTGACAACAGTGCAGCTGCTGGAAAAAGAATAATGGTGCAATGAAAGCATTTACCAAACAGTGGGTGCAATTAAGGCAACCCAAGGCTGACCACAATGAAGATTACTAGGGTTTAGGCAAAAAAGCAAAGCCCCCCAGGATCAGGAGCTCTGATACCAATTTGAAACTTGAAAAGGTAGCTGAATTTTATTTCTAATTCCATGAGTAATAGTATATTGAGTAATTATAAATCCTATATATAAATTACATCTATTTTCAATAAGGAATTACTAAAAAACAGTACAAATCAATTAATTATAAAAATAAATCTCTATTAATTATGGTAATTATACTCCACACCAGAAACATCCATTTACTTTTCCTCTAAAGTTCTCTCCATTACAGCCAATTTCTTAGTTCCTTGTACAGCTAATTACAACAACTCAGTTAATAATTTTAATTGTGAATGCACAAAGAGAAGGGAGGGGGCCAACTACATACCACATATGTGCACACTCAAAGGGAGGACAGGGCGGGTTCATCTTGTAACCTCTCTGTACAACAAGAAGGGCTATCTGAAAAGACAATCTAATATTTAGCAATTGAGATAAGCCAAAACAACTTGCAGTATCAATTATAAATATACAGCCATCATACAAAAATCTAAATGTAATGACCTGACATGCCAATTTTCTTGTTAAAATGCTGAAGTTACTGCTCACTGGAACTTGATGAAGCAGAAAATAGAGAAAATACCTACGTTGCTTTTCAAGCTCCCCGTCTTGCAAAGCTTCAAGAGACTGCAACACAGGATCAAATATCTAAATAATGTCAACACAAGAACAAGCCCTCCTTCTCCCAATACACACACACAACAAAGAAACAAACCAGATCATCATGCATACATGCCTGTAGAAAAGGTTGGAATAGACCAAAAATATCTTTATGGATTTTCTCATTGCGAGTATGAAAGCATTGACCAATTAGAGTGTTGCGCATTGCACTTGGTGACAATGTAGACCTTAACCAAAGCTTACAACCTCAAAGCAAGCCAAAAGCCCAAAACAAAATGTCAGGAAGAAATATAAATGAATTACAAAGAACGTGGAATTGGAAAGGAAAAATACATACCAAGCATTTCAAAGAGTAGTCTCAAGCAAGTAACAGCATGTGAAAATTCAAGTGAATCACCACTAATATGATTGAGTACAATATCAACAAGAAAGGGATAGCGTTCCAATATCCCTTCTTCAAACGTTGAAGGATCCAAGAAGCCAAGCCTTGACAAAAAATAGATAAAGATGTTCCAGGAAAATACTAGTGAAGAATAGACTAGGCTAAAAAGAGATACTATCAAATTCAAAACACACTTCTTACAGTGATTTGATACCAATCCATAAGGACACACGATCCAATTGAGTTCTTGGTGTTGAGGTCTCCAAAGCCACTGGCAAAGCATCTGCCTCTAAACAGCCAATAAATTTCTTAAGCAATGGCTGCAAAGGTTCCAAGTCTGTTGCTCTCCTACACTTAGACAAACATACACCATATCAAAAAGGCAGAAAGGCTTCTAAATATCTCGGAGTGAAAAACTATATTTACACAGTGAAGAAAAGATAAGCAATGAGGTTCATTTCCATGATTCCAAAGGCTTCTAAATATCTCGGAGTGAAAAACTATATTTACACAGTGAAGAAAAGATAAGCAATGAGGTTCATTTCCATGATTCCAAAGGCTTCTAAATATCTCGGAGTGAAAAACTATATTTACACAGTGAAGAAAAGATAAGCAACGAGGTTCGTTTCCATGATTCCATCAGTGGTAATATGGCAGTGACACATGCTACATGCATTTGAAAATTCTGGTTTCTGTCTTCCATATCTTTTTCTATAAAAGAATAGTCATGTTTTTTAGATAAGATGAAGATAAATACTTTTTTTGGGATTTTTAGACTCAGAAAACCCAAGTTCAATGAGGCATCATCGACTTAAATTTGAAATCACAATCAGTGAAGCAGATACACTTTCAAGCAAACCAACAAAAAGTACCTCAGTTTTCCCATTGATCCTGCTAAGCGATATCCAACAGAACGAACACTTCTTTTGCAAAAAAGTAATGCATAAACTCCCTGGAAGAAGATAGCTTCACTGATTAAGCAATCTGTCATTAAATCTGCTAGAAGAAATATACAGCAAGCAAAAGAAAAAGAAAATACCGGAAATTGTTGATTCCCAGACAAAGCAAGTTCATGCTTATTATCAATAGCTTCAACAAACAACTCAAACTCAGTGAATAGAGGCTGATAATCTAAGAGGATAGGGAACATCAATACCTGTGTCAAATGATCATAGGAGAAAATGAATTGATAAAATCTGAACTTCAAATTAGAAAATCCATACACAAAGAAAATAAAATGAAAAATTAAGTCATAATTACTGCCACTTAAAATAGCATGAGGAGAATAACTATTTTAGCATCAGATAAAATTATCATTTCCCAGTCTAACAATATTCAATTTGCACTTCTCCATAAAATTTGCAATCCAGTAGATAGTGAAAATTTCAATGCAAAAAAAAAAAAAAAGCTATGTAATAATATAGTATGGAAAACAGAAAACATTTCAATACAGTCAACATATTTCTTACTTATCCAGAAGCAACAAAATCTCTATTTACAAAGAGGGATCAAATGATCCAATTCCAATAAATAGAATGTAAAGTATTATATCATCCATACAGAGCCAGAAAACACACCTCATACAAAACATTAACAACTTCAGCATTATCATTAGCGGGATCATACTTTTCCCCTGCTATTTTTGTATTGATATCTCTCAGATGTAATGTCACCCTGTCATAATCAAGCTTTTGCAAGACATCAAGAAGAGGACCAATAGTGCTAGACTCATACTCCATACTATACATGTCTTGGGCTTGATGGTGCTGAGAAATGCACTGCAGGCACTGTTGCATTTCATCAGAGATTCTCTTCCATAACAGCCTCAGTGGTGAATCTTGACGATCATCTTTGAAGTAATTGTAAAAAGTCTCCAAAAGGGGCCCCATTATATCCCAAAAGCCACACCAAATATGACTTCCGCTGGGCAAAAATATTAGAAAAATATATGCATCTGCAAACCTGGCAATACTTAAGTTGTTATGGAAACTTCGCCAAGACTCGTAGGATAAGAAACCAGCAAGGCAACACAGTCTCAATCACGATATAATTTGTTACTTTCATGCAGAAGAAAATAATACAATTCCAATAATCACTTATTCTTGAGGCACTCACACAAGTATTACTAATGATTGTGTTAGATAATCAACAATTTATTTGCGTACTTATTCTTAAGATTCACCGTGTTTATCCTGTGCTTGTACTGAGGAGATGAGGAATACGTATAATGCATATGCACAAAATAGAGTAAACATTTTATTTATGTAGCATCACCCAATGTCAAGGGAAATTCAGGGGAAACCTAATATCGACATTGCAATTTTATCATTATTAAAACAAATAGCGATTAGTTGACTGTAATTTAAACTATTTCTGGTGCTGGAAACAAAAAAGGGGTAAATAGCGAAAACCATTGTTCTTTGTGGAGGTGGAGGCTACGACGTTTCGAGGGATCAACATTATCGTCATCGTCGTTCTCCTCTTCTTCCTCGATGCCTCTCCACCGGTCCAGTAGCTCCCGTCTAGTAGCAAGTTTGTTCGCCATTGACATGGTAGGGTTTATCCTACAGACTACAGAGTTACGATTATGTTTATGATCCTAATTTCAGAAGGTGACGTCTCCAGAGGAATGGTAAGAATTAGGGTAAGAGTATCAGTTTTTTAATTTTTATTTTGCCTTCGATTTCGCGCGCTTCATAGTTTTATGATGTATTTTGTATTTATTTTTTATTTTGAATAAATTACGATTTTCATGAAAAATATGAATATTATTTTATTTTATTTTCTTACGTTAAAAATTATAGTTCACACTGGCTTTAATATATATGATATTTTATTTATTTTTTAAATTTCTTATTAAAGTTTCATTAATTTTCATTAAAAAAAATTATTATCAAAACAACTCTTACATTAATATCTTTTAGAGATGTTACATGTAAGTATCTTTTAAACGATAATTTTAGTTTCTTATATTTATAATTATTTTTAAAAGTATAGTTTGTTGAAAATATTTTTACCTTATTTTTCTACAAAAATATTCTCATGAAATAAGAGAAAATTTGACTTTTTTTTATAAAGATAAGAAAGATTACAAAGATGGTCGCAATGAGAATTGAACATAGTGTGAGACCCCCGTAAACCCTCCCTCTCTTTTCTCACTTCCTGCCACATTTCACTATTACTCTCCTTGCCCATTCTCTCTTCTCTTCTTGCCTTGGTCTCATTATTCTCTGAAAATCTTTGGGTGTCAAAGGTGCTGAGTAGGTGTTAGATTGCTAGCTGAGCGTGCGGAGCTTCCCTTTCTTCTCCGTGGAGTTTCTTCTTCTACTTCTCCATTCCTTCTCTTCTTTTCTCTTCCCGGAGCTCAGAATCATCTCACCGAGGTAAGGGAAGCTAGGTTTTGCTGGATTGTGTAGAAATGAGTTTAGAAACTCATTGATGGTCTGATATTGGATGATTGTTGGCTGAGATTGAAGAAACTTTCGTTTTCGGGGTTTCGAGGTTTTGGGTGAAATTTTGAGTTTTTCTTGTTTGATGGTTGCATGTTGAAAATGAGCTGATTTTTGGGTTGTTTGATGAAAATGTGACATTTTAGATGGATTGCATGTGTTTGGGGTGTTGATCTTTGCAGGTTTTGGGCAAAATTTTCAAACTTGGAGAGATGCTGTTTGGTATCACGCTGGGCGCAGTTCTTAGCGCCGCGCGCGTGACCATCAGATGGATCCATTGGTCGAACTCGCCAGGCGCAAGTGGTGTGCGCCGGGTGAGCTAGAGGATGGATGCCCCTGGATGGCTCACGCCGGGCGTGGTTGGACCACGCTAGGTGCGTTATCAGTCAGTGACTCACTTTATTGGAGTTCTGGTATGGCGTCAGGCGTGACTCTGTCTCGACGGGCGTGGAGACTCCTTGGGAGTCTCTGTCAAAGGTGGCGTCAGGCACAATTGCTATTGTGCCGGGCGTGAGACCTTGGGGAGGTCTCTGCCTTCCCTGTGCCGAGCGCGGGTTTGGCACGCCGGGCGTATGAGGCTCTTTGGAGTCTCTGCCTCCTAGCATGCCGGGCACAATTGGAATTGCGCCGGGCGCATTTAAGCCTTGGTGCTCTCTGGTTGGGCCACGCGGGGCGCGACCATGAGTGCGCCGGGCACGGATGTGATCTTTCCTTATATGTTGTTATATGCTGATAAATGTTGTTATATGCCGATATAAGCTATTAATGATGATTGATGATATTGTTGTGCGATGAGATATTTATGCTGAATTATGATGTTTAAGTTGTGTTGTATAATGTTGAGCTGTGTTGTATGTTGTTATTGTTGTTATGTTGTGATGTGTTGCATGTTGATATAAACTATTGTAGATCGTAAGGTTGAGTTGTTGTAGGCCGTAAGGCTGTTGTAGGAGATCTCTGAGCTGATATGCGTGACGACGCATTGTTTGTTTATTACTGTTATGGCTGGATGATGTGAGATGTATGCTGATGTTGCTGAACTAGATGATATGCTGATAGCTATAGCTGATTATAATTCTTGTAATTATATGTATATATGTTGATTCTTTTCACTAGCTTACCCTTTGTTGTTTTCATGTGGTTTGGACTGCAATGATCATACTATGTATGGGAGCAGAGCATGGATAGGCTGGTGTGCAGAGACAGGTCTATAGCTGATAGATGCGGTGGATGTTTTTGATATTTTACTGTTTTAACTACTTAGTGTAGCAATTGGATTGTATTTTGTACTTTGATTTTTAAGCCACAGGCTAGACCTTGTGTATATATTTTAGCTGCCTATATATATGCATGCTTTTTTCTGTGTGGTGCTGTGGTGTTTAGCTGTGCGATGACCAGGCGAGTCATTACACATAGGTCATCATACTTCTAATTATCTCAACTCCTTCCTACCCAACCACTAGACTAACCCTAGTGGTCTCGACTTTTTTTAATTAAGAAGAAAGTTTAATGAATATAAAAATCAATGTATTTTTTTAAAATATACAATTTCTCCTTCTCTCTCTCTATCTCTCTCACTCTCACTTCTTATCTTTTTCTCACTCTCTTTCTCCCTTTCTCACTCTCCTTTTATTTCTTTTTCTCCCTTTTTTCTTTTATTTTTATTTTTCTCTCTCTCTTCTATATCTTTATTTCTCTTACTCTTTCTCGTATTTCATTACTTATTAATATTATCAATTTTAATAATATTATTAAATTTTATTTTATATCTATAATTTAATGATATTTGTTAATTAATTAAATTTTTTATTTGAATGATGAAATATATATTTTTATCATTCTTAATTATTATGTAACATTTTTTTTATTTTGTATTAAATTTTGTATTTAATTAATTTTAATTATAAATTTTTAACTTTTTAAAAATAGTTTAATGTCACATTTTTAATAAGATTTGAGTAAATAAATCTATTTAATAAATATATTTTTATAAAAGATATTTTTGTAAAACATATTTACATTCTTAAAAATATAATAGTATAACCAAATACGAAAATCTTTAATTTCAAGAATCCTATATAAATGTTCCTAGAAACCTTTATAAGTAATCAACATATATTAACTATTCTCGAAAATTTTTAATTCTCAAGGAATCATGATGATTCAAATATATCACACTTTAATAATTTATCTATTAATTTATATATTTTATTATTATTTTAAAAATTATCATGAGTTTTACTAAAATTAACTATATATCTTAAATAAATATTTTTTATTATTATCTTTACAAAATATTTGTAAAGTTATATATAAGATAAAAATAATATATTTATTAAATCAATATAGTTAATATAATATTTTTAATAAAAATAGTATTCTTATCATATAATATTAATTATATACATTAAAGATAATATAAACATTTTCAAAAATATTTATAACCATCTAAACAAATTTTTGTGATTCTTATAAATTACATGTTTCTCATAAATCACGAGTCTCAAACATAAAAGAGTTTATCATATGTCAAATATCCTCTAAAAATCATAATTTATAATTAATTAAAAATATAAAACTTTTTACACTAACAATAAGTATATCACCAAACTTAAAAAAAAATAATAAAATATATATATATATATATGT